GGTTGCTGCGGCGGCCGGCGGTTAAATTCAAATTTATATTATGCCCTTGCTGGCTACGTGGCTGCTTGCCCTTAATTATACACTTCAATACTTTGGCATCTTGTGTTAACCATTCTTATAACTAATACAATGCTTATATACTATACAATACTTGCATCCTATAACTACAATTATGAACTGTGGGGTGGCTACCACAGTGGCCGCCTCACAAACTGTATTGCACTTCTTATAATAAACTACAAGTAATGTATGTATGTACGGAAATAGCTAACACGCTAAGCTTTTATTTGGAATTTCATGTGTTTTTTAATGTAAATTATTAACTTTTCTTTAGGTTGGCAAGCTAATTTCTGTGTTAATTGAAAACATCAACATTTCTTTGGGAATTCTAAGGTTTATCTAGAAAGTACATACATACTTTGTTCATGTAGATAGTACTGGTAATTAGTTAGTTTTAGTTAGTTTTTTTCATTTTTTAAGTTTTTTTTAAAGATCTAGAGTAAGGTTTTCCTTTGAGTAAGGTATAGCTCAAATAGCAGCGTAGAAATATTGTCATAAAACACTTTTCTTTTAAGTTTGTCGTTTTGTTTTAGTTCGTGTAAAATTTAGCTAAATTTACATTGATTTATTCGGTAGCTTAAGCTTTCATGAAAATTCCATGCCTGATTGTTGCCTCTAATATTATTGCATTGGTGTGTATATGTGTGTGTGTGTGTGTGAGAGAGTTGCCTACTCTACGGCGCCCCGCTGTTTATTTAAAAGTGTTGTCTACTTTTAGGCATAGCGCAAATTATTAAATATTCTTTAGGTACATATTTATTTTCAGTATCTTAAAAATTAAATAATCACAATTTCGAAAGTGGAAATTTTGAAAGTAAACACAATTTTTTGGTAGACTCATAAAAGATAATTTATTTGTATGTTTCAGAAACCTTTAATGAGGAAATTTTTTAAAAAAATTGTCAACGCTTAAGTGAGAACATTTAATTTATATTGGCCAAATCAAAGCCAATAAATAAAACTTGTTTTAACAATAAATAATTCTGCTTTACGAGTTTGCTAACCAACTGTAACGAAAAGAATTATCTATATCAAGATAGACGGATTCAGTTTTACGGAGTCATTATGCTTAACAAAATTATATAAAAAACAAATCTGTTACAACGTGTATTGTATGAGACTTTTATTTAAACATAGTTCAGCGTATTGCTGCCCCAGTGTTATTTACACAATTTATAAATCAACTATATATAGATATATATATTAAATATATATTGGATTTGATTTGATGATTGTTTTTTAAATAATGCAGCAAGCAATTTAATAAATGGCTAATACAACGCATGCCTTATAACATAATACATTTACACACATAAATATATGTATAGCTGATCTCTATTCGTTTTAAATATACAATAATAATATTATTTATTTATTTATTTACTTATTTATTTATTTATTTATTGCTCAAAGCTTTCGAAAATTTCGAATTTTTTATGAAAGGAATGTTCATCTTTTCATTATATCGATACTTTTTGAAAGCAGGAATTGGCCAATAAACTTCATATTTCATATCAAAACATATTTTATAAACTTTTTTATTAGTCATGTTCCTTTCCGTTTAAAATGTTGGCTGTGGAAATACTTTCATATTGATGAACTTATTCAAAACCCAAAGCTAACATTCAAAGCATACAACTCATTCCAATTGTGACGCACATAACAATACAAACGCTTCTTAAAAACATATATATTAAAAAAATATATATATTAACAACATTTATCTAAAATGCCATGCTTTAAGCGAGAGAGGAGTCTATCATTGGGCCCGCGGCGGGCAAAGCGGGGTAATGGAAAAGACGTCGTGATTAAACCAGTTCGTCCACGGTCAGTGAAATTCCATGGACTTCTCGGAATGGGGTTTGTGAGCCAACATCTCTTTGTTGACAATAACTGGACGCCCGATTCGCTGAACGAGCAGTTCACGCTCATGAGAGACTTGCTGAGTAAGTGCTCATGTCATCTGATATCATCTATGAGATTATGAGCATATGTTGTTCTTTAGCCCGTCGCCGAATCTACAATTTGCATGAAAAGGAAGCCAATCGAAGGCTTCTCCGCAAAGAGAGTAAACGGTTGAAAACGCAGTGCACTGATGGACGCATCAAGCTGCAGAATATCTCGACCGGGAATAATGCCCATGAGATACGTAACATGTTGATCAACCGCACGGATATGCAGCGTCTCTACCAGAAGATGCCCATAGATCAGGTCTTGGAAAATATCAATCAGCGCACTTTTGTCATGCGTAAGGAGCGAGATCGCTTAAGTAATCGCTTGGATCAGCTAAAGCGTAAATACAATCAACTTCTGGTAGGTATAAAGCTACGAGAAAGTGAAACATGCATCAATATACTCGCTTAAACAGATAGATCGCGCCGAGGTGGAGAATCGCATCCGATACGAAAATGAGTTTGTTCTAGAGGAGGAGCTCGTGTCGCGTGTGTTGCTTAAAAAAATAGAAAACTCTAGTGTGCGGCTCAGAGCCATTCGAACCATTAATACCACATATAAGAAAATGGTGCAAGTTCTGTCGCAGGATGAAATATTTTATGAGCCCGTTCTGCATTCCCTCGATGATGACATCGAGGATCAGTCAAATATGATTAAATATATCCTCTTTCTAGGCATGCCTGCCATTAACAAGTTTAATGTGCTCAATCGCGAGTATAAACTTTTAGATGAAAAGTCGCGGAAAAATCTGCAGGCCAAGCTGAAAATCTTAGCTTCAATGCAAAAGCCTGCTGCTGTTGTGGGTCCACCGAAGGATAAAGAGAAACCCGTCACTAGCGAAGATCCCAATGATCGCTATGTGCGAGAAACACGGAGCATGGCATCGCTCAGGGCGCAGTCAAGCCTCATCGAGGATACCATCAAAAACCTAAAATATATAACAACTTGCTCGCAAGCCAGGGAGATTTTTCCACGGTTAGTCTACAGAAATTCCTGTCAAAATTTAACAAAATTTTTAGCAAATTTAAACAAACTTTCTCCTTTTGCAGCGTTAAAGGTGAACTGCAGAACAATAAAAGCCTGGCCAGGGAGATCGCAAACGATCTGCAGGCTCACCACATGCTCAGGTCCAAAATGAAATACACGACTGTGCTGGAGCAGGTGCTAGTAAACAATCTATCCGAAGAGGAAATCAAGTGTGTACTATTTGGAATTATTCCAAATATCCTATTTAATTTTGATATATGTTTAACGTCTTGTATTCTTCGACAGTCGACTTGAACGCATTCGAGAATTGAAAAAAATTTTAAAAGAGGATGAGGATTTCGAGCAATCTCTTGTCGACTATATCAATAATTGCGCGAATATTTACGTAATGTTGCGGTAAAGTATATATATTTTTGATCAGCATTAACATCCGATTCGATATATTAATTTCCGTCTGTCTCTTTCTTTCTTTGGAAAATGGTCTCTCTCAATTTCAAAACATAGTCACGAAACTTGCAGGCAGTACATATGTCGGCCGGATCGGCTTTCAATATCTTTTAGGAATGATTGGTCTAATCTTAGCCTCTTGTATGAAAAGCTCTTTTGTTTTTCAAGATATCATTCCCACCATTTGCATTTACGAGTAAAATCTTATTAACATCGTATCACTACATCTTATATAGTATCATATCGGTCTAAAATTAGATTGTCTCAACTTTTTGCTCTTCAAGAATTCCAAGCCACATTCTTTTCTCTATTCTCGTAATATATGATAATATATTTTTGAAATATCGTAGCAATTTAATTGGTATCATATAAAAGACATGCTATATGCATATCTTCGGCATGCCAAAGATATCCATGCTGTCTTTATTCTTTTCTGTTCTAATCCTCTTTTTCTTATTTAATGCAGCGTTAGCATTTGGAATCTTATTGCTATTTTGCAAAATGTCGATCGGAATCCTAGGCATTTCAATTTTAGATATCCCAATTCGTATTTGAAGTTACCATTGCTCAAATTCGAATTGCTCGATATGCACGTCATGCCGCCAGGCTTCTACGAGGAAGACAGTTGAGTTAAGCAGCGCATCACAAAATAGCTATTACTAATATTAGTTATTTCGAAATACGCAGTTGATAAACTCATGCATGTGCTCAAGCGTAAGGTGTACAAGCTGGTAAAGGCCTACACGGTGCAAATGGAATCGGAGACCCCGATCTGCAGGAATAAATATCATCAGGCTTTTCTGGCTACTTGCAAAACGTATTCAAGTGTCAATGGAGAGGATGAGCATATGGCTGTGGTTGGACTCGACGATGACAAGGCGAATGCCACGATTCCGTCTCGAAAGCAAATTAAGGCTTTCAGTGCCAAAGTTGTGGAAGCGGCCAGATTCAATGAAAACAACTAAGATATTTTTGTATCGAAAAAAAAAAATATTAGATTAATGGTTTATAATATTTTTAAATGATATATATTTGTATGCTATTAAAATAACCTATACATACGTCTTATACGAAATTATTTAAGGGAAACATAAAGAAGAATTTTAAGAAAGCCTTTTGTTCTTTGAAAATTCGTTTTTATGCATTTATATGTATTAAATAAAAAAGATTTAAAATAAATAGAAATGAAAAAAGCAAGCCATGGAATGATCTAGAGTTTAAAATCTGATCAGGTATGAAAATATATTCGTGCTGGAGGAGGAGATAGTATCGCGTATATTGCAAAAGAAAATAGAAAACTCTAACGAGCGTTTGAAAGCCATTCGTACCACAAACAAGAAAATGATCCAAGTGCTATTACACGATGTAATATTTTATGAGCCCATTTGGCGATCTCTCGACGACGACATGGAGGATCAGGTGAATTTTATAAAGCATATACTCTACCTTGGCATGCCAGCGATAGCCAAGTTTAAGGACCTCAGTCGCGAGTTTCGACTGTTGGAGGAGAAGTCACGCAAGAATCATCACGGCAAGTTACAAATCTTGGCTTCATGAAGAGCCTTCAACAAATACTTGCTATAGTTCAAGTCAACACCGTTAAAGGCCAAGTGGAAAACAATGTTAAGCTGCATCGCATTATCGACCATGAAATGCAGACTCATGAGTCGCTGAAGCACAAAATGAAATTCGCCACAGTGCTGCAAGGGGCTTTACTCGACAATCTATCCGAGGAGGAGATCAAGTGAGCAGCTCCTTTAATTCATAATTTTTTTAAATTAACTATTCTAATTATATTGCCTGACAGTCGACTTGAGCGTATTGCAGAGCTGAAAGTTGCGTTAAAAGCGGATGAGGAATTCGAACAGGACACTTTGGAATATATGACAAATCGAGCCCATGTTCAGGTAAGCTTTGCAAAAGTAAATCATAAGCTTTATTTGTTTACTTTTACTTTATAATTTTTGACTAAATTCTTTGTTTCATTTGCTGAGACAGGGTAAGCCTTTGGAATCTTATTGATATATTATGGCATGTAGATCGCAATCCTAAAGCCTTTTGCACTAAATATCCGAATTCGTACTTAAAATTGCCACTCCTCAAATTTGATATGATTACCATGTTTGCCTCTGCTCCAGAGCTATACGACGAAAACGGTATATTAAGCTAATCGATACTAAAGAATTTATTTTTATTTATTTTGTCTGTTTTTATGTAGCTGAGAAGCTTATGCATCTACTCAAGCGTAAGGTATACAAACTGACGAAAGGCTACAATGCGGATATGATGTCATCGTTAAAGAGCAGTAAACAAAAATATCATGCCGACTATTTGGCCACAATTGATAAATACGATTACTTCGATGAGAATCAGCAACGGGGTGAAACAGTTGGGGAGGATCTGCTGCAGGAGCAGAAGACCCAGGCCAATGTACCGAAACGCAAACAGATCAAGGCACAGAGTGCCAGACTTCTGGAGGAGGCGTCCAGGCGTGATGAAAAGTAATGTGCAGATTAATTTTAATAACATAAATAAACTTTACCTGTCCAATTAGGCGCATTTGATTTAAGCTCGCAATGGGTTTATTAAAACAAGACAATTTTTACGTGCTCCGATGTGCAGATTAGATTGAACCCTGGATGTGCTTTGACTTTGCAGCTGCCTCGTTCTTGGCTTTCAATTTGTAAAAATAAAAAATGAGAAAAAACTTGTGAAATACATTAAAATTTTTCATAGCAGCCCATGACTTAAGTTTCTACTCATTTTTACATGCCTCATGCTCCATATTTGTCACATTAATTGTTAGGTACACTTCAATACAACAGTTTCACAAAAATAAAAAAACAAAACCTTAAAAAAATTAAAAAACAAAAAAAATAAAAAAAAAAATAAAACAAATAAAACACAATGCCCTGCTTTATGCGAAGGAATAGCATATCGTACGTCTCGCGGCGGGATAAGCAAAATGACAGAGATGCCATGGCACCGCGGCCAGTGCATCCACGCGCCCTCAGCTACCATGGATTCCTTGGCGAGGGCTTTGTGCGCCAGCATTTGGTGGTCGACGAGCGTTGGACGCCCAACTCCTTGTCCGAACAGTTTAGTGGCATGTCCGCACTGTTGGGTAAGTGATCGATATATGCACATCCTGCGGGACTAATTACCACTTAATCGGCAGACCGTTTTGCGATCTTCAAGCGGCACGAGACAATGGCCAATCGCCAGCTCTTATTTAAGGATAATAAGCGACTTAAGTTGCAATGCCGCCTGGGTCGCACAAAGCTGATCAACATCGTAACCGGAGATAATACCCACAACATTCGCAACCTGTTGATCAAACACAGGGATATGCAGCGTCTGTACCAGAAAATGCCCATTCACCTGATTGCGGACAATATCAATCAGCGTACATTTGTGCTGCGCAAGGAGCGGGATCGTCTCGAGTGTCGATTGGGTCAGCTAAAGAGTCGGTACAGAGAAATGCTGGTAGGTCTTAATAAGAAATGATGAATAAATGCAGAAATAAGATATTAAATATTTATAAATTTATTTACAGATTGATCGTGCACTTCTAGAAAACCGCATCAAGTTTCAGAATGAGTTTGTCTTAGAAGAGGAGGTGAAGTCGCAAGGGCTCATCAAGAGGATTGAAAACTCGAATGTTCGCCTGAAGGCCATCAAGGTCATTAACTCTACGTATCAGAAAATGGTGCAGGTGCTCTTGCAGGATGAAATATTTTATGAGCCAATTTTGCGCTCTCTCGACGACGACTTGCAGGATCAGGCGAATTTTATAAAGCACATACTCTACCTTGGCATGCCAGCGATAGCCAAGTTCGGGGAGCTCAACGTGCAGTATCGACAGTTGGAGGCAAAGTCACTTAAAACTCTTTTGCAAAAGCAACAATTACTGGTCTCATTAGCCCAAAAGCCAGCTGTTGCTAGGAAACCAACGCGTTTTCAGCCCGAACAAGAGCTCTCTGCAACAGCAGATCCCAAGCGTTATTTGCGGGAGACGCACAGCATGCTGTTGCTCAAGAAAGTGCTGAATGTCGTCGAGAAGGTCATCAAGGAGGTAAAGCTTAATACACTCTGCTCCCAGGCCAGGGAGATTTATCCGCGGTAAGTCTAGCACAATCAAGAACGGCTAAAGTCTTACCATCTGTTTGTAGCATGAAGAGCCAGGTGGAGAACAATGAGAATATACGTCGGATCGCAGAGCGCGAGGGGATGACTCGATATGCGCTGGAGGACCGAATGAAATTGGCCTCTGTGCTACAGGACGTTTTGGTCAACAATCTATCCGAGGAGGAAATTAAGTATGCACATAATCATATTTATGCAATAATTATTTCAACTATAATGTCAAACAGCCGCCTGGAGTACATTAACGACATGAGAAAAGCTATGAAAGAGGAGGAGAATATTGAGTTAAAGATAATGGAGTATTTAAAGAATCGCGGCGATGCCTTTATTATGCTCCGGTAAGTCTATCGTTTTCTCTTGCAATTGACTATTGCATTCCATTTTATTTGGCCATACAGCTTAAGTCTTTGGAATCTTATTGAAATATTGCGACATGTCGATCGCAACCCCCAAACTTTCCAGAGGAAATATCCGAACTCGTATTTGAAACTGCCTCTTCTCAAATTCGATTTGTTAACCATGTACGCTGCGCCGCCAGAGCTTTACATGGAAGATCGTTAAGTTGAGAAATCCGCTAAAAGCGAACTGTTTTTAAGTTGTACCCTATTTTTTTTTGCACACAGTTGAGAAGGTTATGAACGTGCTTAAGCGTAAACTATATAAGGTGATGAATCTCTTCAACGCGGACATGGAACCGTCGAAGCATAAGTGTAAAGAAAAGTATCATTCCACTTATTTGGCCACCGTCAATACTAACGCATTCATGGATGATGACGAGGATCAGGCAGCAATTGCTGATGATATAATACAGGACCAGAAGATCATGGCCAATGTACCGAATCGCAAGCAGATCAAGAGCCTGAGCAACAGAACTGTCGAGCAAGCTATCAGACGTGAAGAACAACTATAATGTACAAAAATATCTATGCATTTGTATTTACAATAAATATTAATATACAGCAAATCGTATAAATATTCGAATTCACAAAAATGGGGATCGAAATCGATAGCCGATCGCAAAGTTTCCCTAAGTGAAATTTATCGATATCGATTGAGCAGGTTTTTTGATTTGCAATCGAAGGGTAATCAACAGTTAATAAGACGGCCATTTTGTTTTGTAAGATCCCAACTCGGGGAATATTAGATGGATGTAAAACTGTATTAAATTAAATGGGAAATATTATTTTGATTATAGTTTTAATTATTATTTAAATGCACTACTATAAGTAAGGAAAATGGAATAACCCTCGCAACAGTGTTCTCTGTCTAAGGCATACACTGGAATGCGAGCCCGAAATAAGTTTTCGGAGTTTCCAATTTAGGTAGCCAATGAATTTACTTTCTATTATATTTACTTACTAATTTAGTTTGTTATTTATTCAGAGTGTTAGTTCTTTCTTCGGTTTAGTACAGTTCTTTTAATTTTTTTGAGATAAAAATATATTTAAAAAAACGGATAAATAAATACACTTGCAATGCCCTGCTTTACGCGTGAGAAGAGTCTATCACACCGCCCTCGGCGTGATAAGGCGCCCGATCGAGATGCATTGGCGCCCAAGCCAGTGCATCCTCGCGCCTTGAGATTCCATGGACTCTTCGGTATGTCCTATGTGCGCCAGCATGTGATGGTTGACGATCGTTGGAGCCCCAACTCCTTGACCGAGGAATTCGGTGGCATGTCCGAATTGTTAGGTAAGCCTTCGACGTACATAGTACATATATACCTTAAGGTCAAATACTACAAATTGATAGCCCGTCGTGCGGTCTTCAAGCGACACGAGACAAAGGCCAATCGCCAGCGCTACTTGGTGGAAAGTAAGCGGTTAAAATCACAGTGTCGCGATGGACGGTTTAAGCTTCAGAAAGTACTTTCCGGAGATAATACCCACAACATTCGCAACCTGCTGATCAATCACAGGGACATGCAGCGTCTGTACCAGAGAATGCCCATACATCTGGTCGTGGACAATATCAATCAGCGTACATTTGTGCTGCGCAAGGAGCGGGATCGTCTCGAGTGTCGATTGGGTCAACTAAAGAGTCGGTACAGAGAAATGCTGGTAGGTCGTCGATTAGTGTATGAGCTATAGTGCTTCATTTCTTAACTGCAGATGAAACGCGCCATGCTGGAAAATCGCATAAAGTATCAAAACGAGTTTGTGTTGGAAGAGGAAATCAAATCGCGGGGTTTCATCAAAAGAATTGAGAATTCGAATGTGCGCTTGAAGGCCATCAAGGCCATCAACTCGACATATATGAAAATGATACAGGTGCTACGTCACGATGCAATTTTTTACGAGCCAATTCTGCGCTCTCTCGATGGTGACATGGAGGATCAGGCGAATTTCATAAAGCACATACTCTATTTGGGCATGCCGGCCATAGCCAAGTTTAAGGAGCTTAACTACGAGTATCGACAGCTGGAGGATAAGTCGCGGAAAAATCTGCAGGCCAAGCTGCAGATGCTGTCCTCATTTAAAATCGTAAAGCCACTCGGTTCTTTGCGGGCAACGCGTGCAAAGCCCAAAGAGGAGATCCCACCCAGCGCAGATCCCAAGCGCTATTTGCGCGAGACGCGCAGCATGCTGGTGCTCAAGCTAATGCTCAAGTCCGTCGAGAATACCATTAAGGAGGTGAAGTTTGTGACGCTTTGCTCGCAGGCGAGAGAGATTTATCCACGGTAAGCGTTCTGAAACGATAAACAGCCAAGAGCCCAAGTTGAATATTCCGATTGCAGCATGAAGAGCCAGGTGGACAACAATGAGAAGCTCCATCGCATCATCGACTGCGATATGTTGGCTCACGAGATGCTCGAGACGAAAATGAAATGCGCCAATGTGTTGAAGGGTGTGCTGGTGAACAATCTATCCGAGGAGGAGATCAAGTGAGATACCCCTTTAAAATCGAATTTGTTACTTATTTGCTAAAATCATGCTCAACAGTCGGCTTGAGCGCATTAAGGATTTGCGCAAAATGTTTGCAACCGAAACGGAGTACGAGAAGTCGACTTTAACCTATCTGAAAAATCGCGGCGACGCCTATGTCATGTTGCGGTAAGTAAACACAATACACAATCTATATTTAATTTCTAAATTAGAACTGAGATGCCCGAATTTGTGAGACTAAAACAGCTTGATTGATCACAAATACCCAACAGAAAATTAAGCTGCTAATATGCTTAATCATTTGAACTCTAACTACAATGTCCACAATTTCCATGGCTAAGCGAAATACAGAGTATTTATCATTTATCCAATATGTCTAATGAGGGGATAATGAATTGCTTGACAAGGCTAAAATATATTTAAGCAACTACACTGACCAAGACTTTCCATAACCATGCTAATAAGGGATTTATTTAAATTATGCACGATGTTGCCAGACTAAGCTATTGGCAGGGATTTTTATTAATTGTGCAAAATGTATCATAACGTTGCCAGACTATGTCATTAACCGTTGAGCATAAGAGGTATTTTTAATCCCAAACTAGCCCAGACTAGCCCAAACCTCCTTAAGATTAACGGATATTTTTAATTTTCCAATACTTTCCATAGAAATGGCGTTAATATTAGGGTATATTTTATTTACGCAAGAATTCCCAGCATTCGATTTTTCGTTAATAAATAATCTTAAATATATTTGCTATTACAGCGTAAGTATTTGGAATCTTATTGAAATACTGCGGCACGTAGATCGCCAGCCAAAATTGTTGCGCTCTCACTATCCGAATTCGTATTTGAAGTTGCCACTTCTGAAATTCGAAATGCTCAATATGCGCGCCGCAGCACCAGAGATTTACGAGGAAAACAGTTGAGTGCAAATAATATAATATTATATAACAAGATAATATATATAATACTATTTTAATCACACAGTTGATATTGTGATGCACGTATTGAAGCGTAAGGTGTACAAATTGATGAAGGGCTACTTGATGGAAATGAAACCGGCAATTTTAGCTCGCAACAGGGAAGAGTATCATGCCGATTTCCTTGCCAGCCTCGAATTGTACGAGCAAATCGATGAGGATGAGCAGCAGATCGTGTCGCCCGGAGAGGATCTACTTACGGATCACAAGACAATGGCAAATGTGCCGAATCGCAAACAGATTAAGGCGCAGAGTACCAAATTCTTAGAGGAGCTCGCAAAACGGGATGAATAACCCACATATATCTCTTTTAGTTTTAACGAACAAAATTTAAGGTTTTACATTTTTTAGAGAGCAGATGGCCAAATTTTGAAGAGTCCAAAGCTTAAGAGTCTGATTGTAGAGTACTGCAATGAATTTGTTCATAATAAATAGTAACGAGAGGAGAAAAAAAACAACAAGAAGAAAAATTGAATAAATCGTGAGCTGCATTGGACAATCGCCAGCCAAACAATGGAAGCGTTGAGGCTATGACGTTGTCTGCAGAAGTCGCTAGTTAACTTCATATAATTGATCCAAAATTGCTGCAAACAGTCGGTTGGCAGCGCAGTCTGGGATTTCATCGCCTCAACTTTGGCTTTTGCTTTGCTTTGGATTTCGGCTGCAATGGGACGCCCTCCCGTTTGGGTTTGCAGTAGTCGCCACAATTGTTGTTGCCACACAATATAATTGTGGACAAGAGAGTCTCTCATTTTATTTATGAGCTGTGTACACAGATACCTATCTTATAGATCAAAGCTGCGATTGTTCTTCACTTAAAAAATAGTTTTGGATATTATACGATCTGTGACACACTTTATAACACTATAACTCGTTATAGTGTGCATAAGCATTTTAATAGGGCCCATTAATCATTTCCTCGGACCCCATAAAAAGCCACTTCCTCTAGGTAGAAAAGAAAACCCAAAATTATATTGTGAACGAGCGAGTATCATAAAAATCTAACAACTTTATTTAGGCAAAACTTTAAAGAAGAATTACTTATTGTTAAAACTAGTTTTATTTATTGGTTTTGATTTTGCCAATATAAATGAAATGTTCTCACTTAAGCGTTCACAATTTTTTAAAAAATTGATTTCAACAATCAGGCATGGAATTTTCATGAAAGCTTAAGCTACCGAATAAATCAATGTAAATTTAGCTAAATTTTACACGAACTAAAACGAAACGACAAATTTAAAAGAAAAGTGTTTTATGACAATATTTCTACGCTGCTATTTGAGCTATACCTTACTCAAAGGAAAACCTTACTCTAGATCTTTAAAAAGAAACCAAAAAAAGAAAAAAACTAACATACTTACCAGTACTATCTACATGAACAAAGTATGTATGTACTATCTAGATAAACCTAAGAATTCCCAAAGAAATGTGGATGTTTTCAATTAACACAGAAATTAGCTTGCCAAAGACAAGTTAATTATTTACATTAAAATACACATGAAATTCCAAATAAAAGCTTAGCGTGTTAGCTATTCCCTTACATACATACATAAATTGTAGTTTATTATAAGATGTGCAATACAGTTTATCGTACACATTCATCACACACAATTAAAACGGAACGTCAGAGATTTATTTGTAATCGAATTGTTAATGCGTTTCTATTAGTTAATTATTACCCAGCGAAAGCAAAAGAAAGAATGTACACCAAATATTTTCACGAAAATCAGAATCATTTTTATGCAGTCTAATATAAGTAATATTACATACTCAACAGAGCGAAAACCGAAACTTCTATTGAAACATTTTACGAACTGTATAAAAACTTCTGTTGCAAAAAAACAATATAAAAGTAAACGAAAAAACACAAAAAGAAATGTTAGTGCAAAATAAATGTGTAAAAAAAATCTTTCGTCTTTTCATACATTTATTCATTTCTTAAATTAGATAAGTTCATCAAATAGCAGATCGTCATGTATTTAAACTGGGTGGCAACTCTGCTCAAATATATTGAGGTGAGGTGACGAAGTTTTTGGCTTAATCTAGCAATCCAGAAAAAGTTATCAACTCTTGAAACATGATTATAACTGAAATATTCATTACAAATATACTACTCACACAAGATATACATAAAACATAACACTCCAACTTATAAAATAAAACAAAAAAAAGATATATTCACAATGCCGTGTTTTAAGCAAGAGAAGAGCCTAGATTTCCGCTCCCGGCGGGATACCACAAACGATACGGATCCGATGGCTCCGAAGCCAGTTCGTCCGCGGGCCATAAAATACCATGGACTCTTCGGCATGTCCATTGCGGCCCAGCATCTCATTGTTGACGATAACTGGACTCCGGGTTCGGTGAATGAGCAATTTGCAAACATGGCCGAACTTCTAGGTACGTGCTTCATGCTATTTGCGCACAAATCCTGTTATCCTGATCATAAAATGCTTCCTTAGAACGGCGCGTAATATACAAACGACATGAGACCAAGACGAATCATTCGCGTCTTTTGGTGGAGAGAAAGCATTTGAAAACGCAGTGCACCGATGGACGCCTTAAGCTGAAGAAAATCTCGTCCGGGAATAACGCCCATAAGATACGCAACATGTTGATCAAGCATAGGGATATGCAACGTCTCTACCAAAATATGCCCATTCACCTGATTGCGGACAATATTAATCAGCGCACCTTTGTCCTGCGCAAGGAGCGGGATCGTCTGGAGGCGCGTTTGTCGGTGCTAAAACCGCAATATAAAAACTTATTAGTTGGTCAAATGTTAGCTCAGCGATCAAACACATATTAAGACTCCACACTTTTACAGGTAAATCGATCGAAGGTGGAAAATCTGATCAAGTATAAGAATGAGTTTGTGCTGGAGGAGGAGCAGCAATCGCGCGTATTACGAAAGAAAATAGAAAATTCTAACTTGCGTTTGAAAGCCATTCGCACCATTAACACCACATACAAGAAAATGATCCAGGTGCTATTACAGGACGAAATATTTTATGAACCAATCTTGCGCTCTCTCGACGACGACATGCAGGATCAGGTGAATTTTATAAAGCATATACTCTACCTTGGCATGCCAGCGATAGCCAAATTTAAGGAACTCAATAACAAGTTTTTGCAATTGGAGTCGAAGTCGCGAAAAAATCTTAGAGCCAAGCTACAAATATTGAACTCCCTGAAAAAGCCCGTTGTTAGCGGCCAGCCGGTCGTCGTCAAGGTCAAAGAGTTATCAGCAGACCCCAAGCGCTATGTGCGTAAGACCAAGAGCATGCAAGCTCTCAAAGCCCAGCTGCGGTCCATTGAAAAAACGATTAAAAACTTAAAATTAAAGACCTTATGCTCGCAAGCAAAGGAGATCTATCCTCGGTAAGTCTTCTTAAGTCCCTCAAAAACTGTATCTAAATCTTCGCCACAGCATTAAGGGTAGATTTAAGGACAATGTAAACATGCGTCGTAAGAATGAACATGATTGGCAAAGTAAACAAATGCTGCGCACCAAAAAGAAATGCGCTACTTTGCTCTCGGCTCTATTAATAAACAATCTATCGGAGGAGGAAATTAAGTAAGAAGCTTTTGCATTTATTTATTCTTACTTTTTCTATTTTGATTATCTGCTCGACAGTCGTCTGGCGCGCATCAAAGAATTAAAAGAAATTCTGATACTTGAAAACGAATTTGAGGAGGAAACTGTCTCGCATATTAGGAACCGCGCCGATCTCTATGTGATGTTGCGGTGAGCTGTTAAGAAACCCACCGTATTTCAATCAAATTTTTAATTTCCATTTGTGTTCACAGCTTATTTCTTTGGAATTTGGTAGTAGTCCTCCGCCATGTAAATCGCAGTCCCAAAGAAGTTCGCAAAGATTATCCAAATTCGTATTTAAGGCTGCCGCTTCTCAAATTCGAGCTGTACAACGTGTATGCTGTGCCCCCCGAGCTGGTTCCGGCAGATAGTTGAGTTGAGTTATCCTATTGAAGGAATCTTATATAATTATTTTTTTTCTGCTATACACAGTCGATGTAATTATGACTTTTCTCAAGCGTTCTGTATACAAGCTGATGAAGGGCTACAGTCCGCAGATGAGTGCAAGTTTAAAGCAGAGTAAAAATAGTTATCATCTCGCTTTCCTGGCTACTTTTGAGCAGCGCGAAACCAACCAAGGCGAAGAGCAAGATATAGTGGCGTTAGGAGATGATTTAATTAACGACAAGACCATGGCCAATATTCCGAATCGCAAAAGGATCAAGGCACAGAGTGCCCGAGTTGTAGAAGAAGCTTCCAAGCGGGAACAACAATAGCTTTTTGTTTGGCTTAGTGTCTATAAACATTATTATATTGTCAAAACCATTTAAACTATCGTCGCAAAATTTTTGTACATTTGACTTATCAATTCTTAAAATACAACAACGATCGCTTTTTTAACATATATATAAGTTAGTCGATGCCCCTAGAAGCTAGCACTCCCTCCCTTTAGTTATTATGTTATTTTTTTGTATAATAATTAATCACGTAAATAAATAAATAAATAATAGTTTTATAAGTAAGACTATACAAAAACGAGAAAGAAGGTCCATCTTCGGCTCGCCGAAGATTTAATACCCCTGCAGACACAACCTTTTCATAATGCTCATAGTGCTTTGTCCGTATCTAAGAAGCACAGGGAAAGTAGTTAATGCCAAGCATGGTGCAGATATCTTGAAACACAAGGACGTCTTTCATATAACAACTTAATTTTCGACTGTTCGTTCCTATGGCAGCTATATGATATAGTAGTCCGATGTAAATAAGATTTTAAATAAATGGAGGGAGCATAGTAAAATTAAACAAGAGGTTCTAGTCGGGATGGGATACCCTGAACCCTCTTCTTCCAACAGGCGATAGGTATAAAATGATAGATACTTGATATGTATATACTATTCTAGAATCTACATGTCAAGTTTGATGACTCTAGCTCATATTATTTACCAAAATTGCCCAAAAACAGGATTTCGATATCGATTTTTATCGATGACTTGGAAACGGGGCAAGTTATCGAATATCGGACACAAATTCGATCTACGCGGGCACTAGGAGGACCTACAGCTAAAATTTCAAGTCTCTAGCTCTTATAGGTTCTGAGATCCTTACGTTCATACCGACAGACAGACGGGCATGGCTAAGTCGACTCGGCTGTTGATGCTGATCAAGAATATATATACTTTCTGGGGTCGGAGATGCTGCGCGCCGAGGCCATACTCACTCGCGTCAGTCTGCAAGACGAATTTGGCGGAAAAGTCCGGACAAGCTAACACAGGGGCAGTCGTCAAGCTATCTTTCAATTGACGCAATGCCTCCTCCTGTTCTTGCTCCCATGCCCATGGGAGCCTCAAATTCTCTACATGCTGTTCTTTCGTTGCTCCTATTACCACGATGTCGTTTAGGTAGGCGAATGCATGAGGCTCCATCTCCGGCCCTTTTACCGTATCCAAGGCTCGCTGAAATGTCGCACACGCCGAATGTAACCCAAATGGAATCACCCGCCATTGGAAAAGACCTCTTCCAGGGACCGTGAACGCCGTACACTCTCGACTGTCGGCTGCCATTGGTATCTGCCAGTACCCGTGCTTTAAATCCAAAGTGGAAATGAATCGGGCGTGACGCAACCGTTCCAGGATGTGATTAATACGAGGCACAGGATAAGCATCCGGAATGGAATGCGCATTGAGTTGTCGGTAGTCGATGCACATGCGCCACTCAAGTCTTCTTCTTGACTAAGACGATTGGGGCGCTGTGCGGACTACCCGAAGGCTCGATGGCATTCGCCTGGATCAGCTCATCCACTTGCTCATCAATCACCCTCTGCATGGCCGGATTCTTCGGATAATATCTCTGCTTCAACGACTTGTCGTCCTTTAGCCGGATCTTGTGCTCCGCGATGTGCGAGACTCCTCCGAGCCCCTCGAAGAGTGCCAGTTCTGACTCCAGGAACTCCCTCAGTTCCGGATCTAGATCCGCTGGCCACTCCGCCTCTTCGATGCTGTTCTCGCCCCCTCCAGGTACCACTTCGACTCCAGATAGAGCTCCACGATCGCTCGACTCTGACAGTCGCTCCTGGCCCCCTGCTTCCGTGTGGATTCTGGCCATTGCTCCTACTCTGTCCTTTCCTTGGCACGTTTCCGCCGTGCCGCTTCCGTAACCAGCGTAGATCTGCCCTTGCAGCTCTACGCGCCGCCTCTTGGGCTCTTCAGGCTCTCGATCTGAACCGGACCTCACTTCCTTTTTCACGACCTTTTCCATCGGGTGCCGAGCAGGTGCTCCCTTTCCATGACCTGGGAGGCCTTCCTTCGGTTCCCTCTTGGTATCCTCTCTCAGTAGCCGAGCAGGTGCTCCCCTTTCATGACCTGGGAGGCCTACCTTCGGCTCCTCGCTCGTTCCTGGCCCCACGACCGGTGCCGTCACTGCCTCTAGGACCAGTTCCGCCTGGCCGCAGCGTATGGTAGTTCCCATTGCACTCAGGAAATCCATACCCAGGACGACGTGGTCTAACATTGAGGGCATGATGAGCATCATCATGCTGATTGTTTTTCCCCCTAGGCTGACGTCTAATCTCAAGGCCTTCCCTACCTCTAGGGTGGACCCATCTGCCAGCCGTATGCGCGCCTGTATGTCCTCCACTCTCCCCCGAATCGCCCACTTGCGTACGCAATCTTCACTCATGAAGCTGCGAGTGGCCCCTGTATCAACGGTAGCAGGCATCGTTCGTCTGCCAATCTCTACCTTAGCGACGATCCGGCCACCGTCCACCTTCAGTGGGTGTCCTACTTCTGCGTTCCGCGTGTCTCGGCGCCGACCCGATCCTGGCCCGGGCGACGCCGTTGCCCGCTTCCCGCCTCCGCGCGGCGACAACACTCCTGACTACTTCTGCCCCGGCTTCCACATACCCAACAAAATAAGACGGGGGCGTTGGGACATTCCCTGGCGAAGTGCCCCTCCTGTGCGCACCTACGACACGCTCGTCCCGGATCATATCCATTCCCGGCCCCTTGGCTTATCATCCGATGGGCCACCTCTGCGTGAGTTACGCGGGTGGGGCGGACACCCTGTTGTCTACAACGGTCGTTCCGGATCCGCTGGGAGCAGATCGGAACGGGTTGAGATGTCCCCCCGGGGATTGTGCCGCCCTCGCCCATTCTGCACTATTCGAACTCGAGACACCCTGGCTCACGGGTTGGCTTCCTGAGTATTCCGCCCTCTGCCTCACGACGGTCTCGTATTCTACAGCCAGTTGAGTTAGCTGGGATAGGGTAGAGAAGTCTTGCCGTCACACACAAAGCCTGTTTTCCGGAGCGGCGTTTTCGTATATCCGGTGCAGCTCTTGCGCCGGCTCGTATCTAGCGTGATGCATAAGAGCCCTCAGCTCTATCAAATATTCCTTGAACTCTTCGCCTACGCGCTGCCTACGGGACCGGATCTCGTCCTCAAGCCTCTCGAAGTAACGTGGAGGTAAGAAAAACTCCAGGAAACCCCTCCTAAACACGGACCACGGCACATCCCTTAGTCCACTGCTCAAAAACCAACGCGCAGCCCTGTCGCAGAACACTTCGCTCATTGACCGGGGCATTCGGTCGAGGGCAATGCCATAGGTGATGGCGCACTCCTCGAGATCCTCTAAGAACCCAAGGGGGTCGGAACAGCCATCATACCTCATGCCCCACTTCCGAACTTGCTCCGGGACATTGGGAAGTGGCCTCGCCTCCGATTGAGGGTACGGTCTAGTGTGGTAGGGACCACCACCCGGTTCGGCAGGGGACCGCCCTACCTCCGCGTTGGCCGCGGTTGCTCGACGGTCTTCGTTTTTACCGAGATCAAGAGCCTCCTCCGCACCCGAGACGGATAAATTCGGGGTGGGCGCCTGCAAACGCCCGTACAACTGGGAGCTCCTAAGGTCGAGCTCCGATTTTTGATGCGACCGCCCGCCAAAGTCGGGTGGGACGCCCCAGGATGACAGCTCAAGAGTTTTAGCGTACTGAGATTCCAGCTGGGCAAGCCGAGCCCAAATCTCAGTTGAATGGCCGCCATCCTGCACGTAGGTGGACAGCCGCTTACGCAGCTCCTCCACGCGCCCTACCTTGTCCAGCCCGAACTCACGAGCGATCGCCACTAGTTCCTCCTTGCGCCGCTCTCTCTCGTGGACTCTCGCTTGATTTTCGTGGTTGGTGTTTGGGCGATTCTCGTTCCGTTGATTTATGTAACTCTCTTTGGTTTGTGCAGGTTTATTTTCTTTTCATTTATATTTATTAATATATTTTTGTTGTTGTTTGTGTTTTTCCGTTTCTTTTTTTTTTTTTTCAATTTGAACCCTTAACAATATAATAAAAAAAATCTGCACTTAATGTTCGTTTCAATATTGACCATCCGTCACTTTGGTCCGTATTTGTCTTTGCCTTTGTCACTCGTTTATTTTATTTTCCTCGGGTAATTATTCATTTATTTATTCACTTCTGTATATACATATATATATTTTCTTTTTTTTTCTATTTTTGGTCACTCCACAAACAATAAAAAAGTAAATAAATTTTTTTTTATAACTTTTATAAAAATCTTTTTCTTGTTGTTGTTCACTTCACACAAAAAAAAACTTATCCACTTGACGTTTTCCCATCTTTAAATCCTCGTTCATTTACATAACTCGTATTGTATTTGTCTGTTTTTATTGTTCACTCCATATTGTTTATCATTAAACGCACCCGTTCTGCTTTCGCCAACTGTACTGACGAATTCAACTTTTCACCGCGCGTGAACTGTACAGCCGCGACCGCGGCGCCTTAACGGCCCTTCGACGCCGACGTCGACTGTGTGCGAGCGTGGTCTCGGCGTCGCCCGTCTGGCGCGCGCACGCTGTACTTTTACGACCGACCGTTATGTTTTCGTCTCTTTGCTTTGCGTGCTAGATTTTTGCAAGCATTTTCGTCGCTAAAATGCTGCACGTGTTCATTTTTCTGCCTCTGCCTAACACAGGGTATAAAAATGTTCGCTGGGGTATACTGGACTACCTAATACCCCTAGTTTTATACTTCACCCATATATGATATTATTATTCTCTTGTTCTCCGCTAGGGTACTTTCCCTTTAGGGTATGCTACACTAGCGGGCCGTTGCCTCGCACTACACTACACTCGACTACACTATCCCAGTAATACCCACTCCTGGGCTACAGTCCCTACAGTTGAACATCGGCTTATTCCGATGTTAGAACAAACAGGGTACCGGAGAATAAAGAACTAACGAGTTTCTTTTGATAAACACGGCATACGCACTTTTGTTCACTTATTATTTAACGCTATCTTGTCGTATTTCCTAAACTAAGACCCTGCCGCACTGTTCTGGAGCTCTAGCGCTCCGCTACACACTCTATGATTTTTCTCGTTGCGACGCACGTCTACTCACCCTTAAGG